CACCATTATTTGGGAAAGAGACGGAACGAAGCCAAACCACACATAAGGAAAGGAAGCGAAGAGGATCCCACAACGAACCGGCCGGAAGAGGAGGCGGGGTTACCAAGATCACCTACGGGGTGACAAAGCGGCATGCTTATTACTTTTCATGACCCACAGCTCCACTGACAGCTGGTTAGCGTACACCACTTTAATGCCCCCTCACGACACCAGTGACAACTTGTTGCCCCCCCCCATCCTTTTTTCGATTGCTGTTTCTGACCCCCTGACAAACCGATGTTTTCTGACAGTTGATTGGCCTATGGCCACTATAATTACCTTCTTTTTTGGTTGCTTTCTCATATCTGAAGATGGACTCCTGTACTAGTTCGAAAGCTCAGAACAATAAACCAATTGATCTGGTGCTCGACAAACCTTCTTCCTCGTCCATGCAAATACCTGGATCGCGAACTTTCTCATTCATTCTTGAATAACTCATTTTTCTACGCCCGTACATAAAGCGACAAGCGTCCTTCGCAGAGAAACTTACTGCCTCCGGAAGATAGGAAAGAGAACTTTTTCAAGAACAGACGCTCTTTGGGAAATAAGGTGACTTTATTCAGTAAACTTTCGACGCTGCATCCCTAAGTCGTCGTCAAATTTGAGAAAATGAGCACTAATCGGCAGCTAAAATTTGATCCAGTCTACGGTGGACAAAGAAAGTAGTTATAATAGCGTAATTACTAATTGGCAACTGTAATTCCTTGTACATATTCTCAAGTCTAACGATGATCTGGGTATTCATCGTCAAAAATTTAACGAACAAAATTACCTTACATCCCAAAACACGTCTTTCCTTGAAATTATATTTCTTTGGATGTCGGCCTTCCAAAAGGGAACTTTTCTGGGTGGATTAGGTATTCTTGATGAACTCTGAGAACAAAAACGTTTGAAAGAGCATGCAATTCAAGACGTACTGAGGTTATACCTTTTTCCAGCACGCTAATGGTTTTACATCCTTAAGCCGCTGCTTGCGAATGTCATGAATTCACGTATCCGAGGTGCACTGGAAGGTTTGAAAGGGCAGATGAAATACCGTTGCTTTGGCTCAATTTTGTAAATGTTTTTGCCATTTGCGTAGCGAGGCAGTAAATAAGTTCTGAGAAGTCTCGATAGCCAAAAATACCGGGTTGAGTTCTAAGCTATACGAGAGCGCAGTAGTCGACCTAGAGGCTGTCTGGCGACTTTGTGCAGTAGTCAGGCAACTTTACAGCGCATGATTTAAAACTTGTAGGCCCGTAGCAGTCATCCATTCGCACATGCAAGTGCGTTCACATAGTCGCAGCTGCCCACGCGTCCCTTAAACACGCCACCGATGCGCCGTGGGCCACTAGATAGGATACCCTCCTCGGCTAATCAACACACGCGAATTAGACATCACGTGACCTTCCTCCACAGACGTACAAAAGCAGCTGCTGTCCCCGTCTAAGCCTCTCTCAGGCATGACTTGAAGCAGTGGCTTCGCAAGTGGCCACTGCAACCTGTGCCATCAACTTAGGGTTACGTACAGAAGATAAATCACTTTCTAATGTCTTCTTTTTTGCCTAAGATCTGCGATTTGGTCTGATTATTGTAGTGCTCCGAGTTAAAGCAAACGCTACAGTCTCACAGTTTTCAGATCGAATTGTTTATACTGCTTGTGATCCTCCGGGTCAGATTACAGAAGGTATTTAAAGCAGTATTCTAGAGGGTGACTGTCGCTCTTGAGGAAGGATGAAACTAAGAGAAATGCTCGTAGATGTGGCTGCTCGTCACCCCTCGCAGAAAATTTTTGAACCAGAAGGCAGGAAAGGTATTTTGTTGGGTGTGTTCGTCATTTTTGGTAAACCCAGAAAACCAAACCGTTTGAAGAACAT